GTGCTAATGCTTGTGCACAAATGCCAACATAATCAGAGAATGTCATGGTCTATGTTGATGTACTTAATAGCAGTAGATGATAAATATGGCTGCGGTGAGCGGTAGTTTTTAACTTCAATAAGCACATATGCCTAACACACGTTTTCCTGGAGTGTGCTTGGATTTTATTGCCTCTGATAATGAGTGCTGTACTTATTCTGAACCAATTTTACCCATTGGCCTCGGAGCCCTATTGTTCTTTTAAGGATTATTATTATGTTTTTGGGAGCATTTGGGGCCCATTACATGTTTAAAAACTCATAAAATTTTGCACTCATCAAAGTACTTTACCATTGCTGAATATATCATACATATTTATTTGTATGAAACTTGTATTGCTCTCAATGATATAAACATCTTTCACATCTACAATTAGATGTTTTGATGCTCTTAACATGTTTAAGATTTCATGATTGAGTTGTCAGCCATTAGGTGTAGGAAAAGTCTAATACATAGATGTTGAGTGGGGATGTCGTGCCCCCTTTTGATTGAAGTACTGAGGTCAGTATTAGTTACCAAACTCTGTACATATACTGTTCTTATCAAGCCCGAAAACTTTCAACATTAAAGTTATTAACTTCACCCAACGGAAGTTGGATATTTTGTATTTAAATAGTGCATGCACTCCTTCTTAGGGGATCCATGTGATCGTCATCAAACTTGGTCACCCTGATGCCAAGATATTTGAAGATGATAGTTTTTTTTTTATATGTTTGATGTTGACTTGTGGCAAAGAAATGCCATTCTGCACAAAGATCTTGAAGTCTGCTTCGTGGTGCATGAGGTTCTCAATATTTTTGAAATTCGTATACTGGCTTGCTGCTCTATCACTGAAGTATTTGACCCTTGTGATGCCTGGTAAAACCTTTCTGAGATGGCTGAAAACAAAGACATATTTATTTACAAAAAATAATTAACAGCAAATTTACTAAATTGTTCATATATGCTTATTTAATAAGTAGGTATATTAATGCAAGCATTTAAAAAAGTAATCAGCGGAACAGCATATATGTGACCCTGGGCCACAAAACCTTAAGTAGCATGGGTGTATTTGTAGCAATAGCCAAAAATACATTGTATGGGTCAAAATTATCCATTTTTTCTTTTATGCCAAAAATCATTAGGATAGTAAGTGAAGATCATGTTCCATTAAGATATTTTGTAAATTTCCTACCATAAATATATCACAACTTAATTTTTGATTAGTAATATGCATTGCTAAGATCTTAATTTGGACAACTTTAAAGGCGATTTTCTCAATATTTAGATTTTTTATTTGCACCCTCAGATTCCAGATTTTCATAATTGTATCTCAGCCAAATAGTGTCCTTTCCTAACAAACCATTCATCAATGGAAAGCTTATTTATTCAGCTTTCAGATTATGTAGAAATCTCAATTTCAAAAAAATGTACCCTTATGACTGGTTTTGTGGTCTAGGGTCACATATGTTAACCACAGAAACTAAAGTTACCTGATGATTACTGAGAGAAATGAGTGTACAGCAACTGAATCATGTTTCATGTAGTCAATTATAATGCAGAAGCTCTCGCACACCATTGCATCATCCTTCAAATGGTACAATGCAAAGGGCTGAATTGTTGCTTGGGTGTTTTCCCAGTGATGTCCCTGAACTGCATCCTGAACAATGAATGGATAATTTTCAGCAAAGTCCAAGAGTACTAGTGCGGTGTCTGCTGTTAGCGATGCTTTACATGTTGAGAGGAAGGCTGCTTGTTACTTGGCTATAAAGTGATGTGCTGTCAAGTTGTCCATTTGTCTTGTAAGCTCCTCTACAAAGTCTGGCACACTTTCCATCCGGTTTATTAATGTGCAGCCTTTCTCCAAGTGGGTCCACTGGTTATAGCTGACTACGTCTTCATCAGACATGTTGTCTTCCTTGAATTTAGTCATCACATGATCACTGAAAGCATTCCTGCCTGGACATTGACTACATCTGTGTATCATGCACTCCCTATTCTTCATATCACATACCGTAGCTGTCATGGCTTCCTTGTAGCCCTTAACACCAGGGGTGACAGCTATTAGAAGTTTCAAATTTTGATGGATCTCACACACACACACACACACACACACACTGTATGTGTTCCTCTTGCTCCAATAGTTACACACCATGGAGGACGTAGCTCACAAAACTTGGAAAACCCAATTTTGCAACCAGGCTCTTTGTTTTTGAACTCACTATACAATTCTCTTAAATTCACAAGCAGAAGTCTTTTCTGTTTTTGGATTTTTGTGCCACTTTCATCTTTTACAGATTTGAACTCCTTTTTTCCAGGGCACATTCTTGAATACTCATCACTTTCATAAAAGGCAATGACCTTGTTCACAGTTTCCAGACTCATCTTCCTGTCCTTTTTCATGTCAAACTCAGCCAACACCCCGGCACACTTTTGGAGAGATCTTGCCTTCTTCACCAGGTAAGTTGGAACGCTGAATTCTGTTGCTATTCTCTCAGTGGTCCAGCTTGGTGGGGCTAATGTCAGGAGCTCAAGTTTCCTCTCAATGTGGCATGTGTGCATCACCTTATCCTTAAGGCAGCAATCATCTGATCAAAATTTGTACAATTCTCACATATACTTGTTTCCTTCACCTCCAGGAGAGCTGGAGAAATGTTAACGCTTGTGGCCACCTGCGAACAGACTGCACTTAGCCTCTACAGCCTTTCTTTTTCTGTAGCCTACTAAATCTCTCCTACTTATGTTTTTTAATTTGAGAGGTGAAAATCCTTCATTAGTGAGAACATTATTAACTGCATCTACAGAATGTTCTTTGAGTCTCTGCAAGATGCAGCCATTTCAACAATATCCACTTCCGATTTTTCCGCTGTGGAGGGTAGTTGGTCCTGAGTGCTGTGTCTCACACGTGACACAAAACTTCTGCCCTGGATGTATTCTTTTCCCTGTGTTGGTGCTGATGTGGTCAGGTGTTTGGAGATCAATGGTTCGTAGGGATTTCATTCTGGAGCTCTCTGGGTGGAGACTGAGAGGGTCACAGCAGACCTTTTGCAGAAAGGAGTACTTGGCAAGAAATACCTTTTCATGATGCAAACACAATTTTGTTGTGGAGTCAGGTTTTGTAAATGTCCTTCGAAGAATCAGCTCACGATCAAATTAAGGAAGATCAGAAAATTTTCAGTCCACATTTTCTGCTAAAACTTTTGCTGTGGCACTTTTTTTTTTACCCAAATGTATTCCAATGCTGCAACTGAACTTCATTGCTTTTATTGAGCTTTATTGAACACCGCATGTGTGGACTGTCATAAGAGGCATGAGCTCTGCTAGCTTAGTTAATTCCTGGTAGCTGCAGAAGCAGTTAAAAAAGCAGCAGTTAAAAATAACAAAATCAATTCTCCAATTTTCTTTGAAACTGATTAAAATATAGAATCTTATGAATAAACTATTGAGAGCAAGTTAATGTGTCCCAGCTTGGCAATTTCAGAGTATTTTTGGTAGAGACATTGTTCAAATTAGTATGTTTAATGCAGCTGTTTTGATAGAAGGAAAAAAAAAGATTAATTTGTAATTTCAACATTAGTTCTTCAAACATTTCTATTTAAATATGGTTAAATATGGTAAATGGTTCAAATTCATCCAATGGTGCTGCATTGTGATCCCCCTATCTCTGGGACTGTATCTGGCCTTAAAAATTAATATACCAAAAGAAAAGCTTTAGAATATAAATATCTAAAAGGATATTTATATATATATTTAATACTTTCTGAGTTACAGCCACACAAACTTTGGAAAGACAATGTTTTCGCCACTCAGACAAGGTATGTGCGATGCAATTATTTTGATATAATGAAACATAGATACATCTCTAGTTTTAACATTATTTGTTGTTCATGCATTCCTCTTGAAAAGAACAAAGTATCAGCTAAATGCAAATTGACCCACATTTGGTTTTTGACCACTGAAAATGTGTACAATTTAAAATTTTATTGATGGAGCCATATTGAGATTCCAATATTTCTGGAAATAGTAAAGACATGGCCTTAAAAATGTAGATACCAAAGGAAAATTTTGTTTAGAACCAGAATCCAAAAGGATATTGAGATATTGTTAATACTTCTTGAGTTACAGACATGCTAACTTTGGGGGGAAAAACTCAGAAAGTGCTTTTTCCCAATTTTGAAGTGTCCCCATTGACATATAATGCTTCAAGAATTGCTAAATACAACAGATTTTACTAATAGACCTACCAATCTCTGTGTAAAAATAAAACAATGATGCTGCCATCCTTCGAAAGTCTTTTTACCCCCCTGTAATTTGGCTATAAATGTCAGGTGAAAATTGCCATTTTGACCTCCCTCTAAAAAACTGTGGATTACTCAGTAAATATACATCCATGACATTTAATATTTTGGCTTTCATTACTATACATATTTATCTTTCTTCAGAAAAAAATATTAGCAGAATCAACAATTTGAGCCCGGGAAGTTTCTGAAATTTGGTTGATTTGACACGGAATGACCCTGATAAATTTTGTAGTGAAAAATGGGAATGAAAGTTGCGCATGTATGTTATTATTGTGAGTCATGGTCACAGTGCCACCAACTGGTAGCAGGAACTGTGTCATACAACAGACTTTTGAAATAGGATGGTCAGGGGGCATGGATGTGCCTAATGAGGCGGTCGTCACCAGCTGGCAGCAGGAAGTGTAGCACATACAACAGACTTTGTCCTCCTTTATTTTACTCACTTAAATGCATGTGCGCCCCATTTGTTACAATGGCCCTGTTGTACTTGAGCCCGTTATCTCTGCTTACAGCGGAGTTGTTGGTTTTGATGCTTTAAATGTCTAAATGTTTTGATGTCCATTGCTTTATGCCATTAAACTGGGCTTAACGTTGTATTTGTCTTTTTTTGCTTTAGACCTGATGGCGCTGAAAGAGGAGAGTCAAGATCCGAATGAAATGGAAGAGAAAGATCTGCATGAAAAACATGATTTCATTACTGGAGAAATGTCTTTTTGTTGTTCACAGACTGAAAAGACTTCCTCTCAAAAAGGAGCTCAGAACACCGGAACTCTGAGTCATTTTACTTGCCAACATTGTGGAAAGAGTTTAAAAAAAAGAGAAAACCTTCAAATCCATATGAGAATTCACACTGGAGAGAAGCCTTTTACCTGCCACCAGTGTGGAAAGGGCTTCCCACGAAAAGATAATCTTAGGATTCACATGAGAATTCACACTGGAGAGAGGCCTTACACCTGCCAACAGTGTGGAAAGAGCTTTCCACGAAAAGATAATCTTAAGATTCACATGAGAATTCACACTGGAGAGAAGCCATTTGTATGTGGTCAGTGCGGAAAACGTTTCCCACATAAAGCAACCTTTTATACTCACATAAGAATTCACACTGGAGAGAAGCCTTACACCTGCAAACTGTGTGGAAAAACTGTGAATCGAAAAGGAAATCTTACGGCTCACATGAGAGTTCACACTGGAGAGAAGCCTTTCGCATGTGATCAGTGTGGAAAATGTTTCGTACGTAAGGAAGGCCTTAGTAAGCACATGGAGATTCACTCAAGTGAGAGCTGTTTTATATGCCCTCAGTGTGGAAGTACATTCACAGACAGGAAACACTTTAAGAGCCACATAATAACTCACATGGGACAGGAGCCTTTTATGTGTCATCACTGTGGAAAGACTCTCACAAAAAAAGCAAACCTCAAGACTCACATGAGAATTCACACTGGAGAGAAGCCTTTCACATGTGAACAATGTGGAAAGAGTTTCAGACAGAAAACAACCCTTTATACCCACATGAGAGTTCACACCACAGAGAGGCCTATTCGAGTATGTTTAGTGTGAGTTTCACATATCAAATAGATCTGAAGAGTTATTTGCAAACTTATTCTGGCAAGAAATTGCAGTGTTCTGAATGGGGTAAGAGGTTTAGAGAAAGGAGCACCTCCATCTCCAGAAAGTAGGGTGCCTGTGGGTCCTTGAAAAGGCTGTAATAGCATTAAATTCACTTTCAACAACAAGTCCATAAAAGTCCTAAATATTATAAATGATAAGGGAAAATATTTGAAGCACAAACAGAGGAGATGCTTGAAAAGGCAAACCTGTTTTTGATTGGCTAGAGATCATGTCATGGATGTGATTCGCAAGTCATAATCTTCTAATATTATGTGCTTTTTAGGGGTCTTTCTTGATATTATTGGATTTTGTTTAAAGCAATATGCTTTTCTAAATGATTTTTATTTATCAATTTTATATGGGCCATTCTACAGAATTGGTCCAAAGTCAGAGTTGGAAACGTCTTAAAAAAAGGTATTTTTCCCAAAAAAAATTATATATGCAAATTGTATAATATCCAAGGTACAAATTTCTAGTAATTGTGCAGTTAATTCTCATATTGTATTTTCAGATAGTTTTGGAATATTTGTCCTTTTGCCAAATTTGTCACTACCGAAACTAGTAATAATAATTTAATTAGAAGGGTTATATTGACCTATTAAGATTTTGCTTACATCTAGATTGTAAATATATTTTCTTGCTATTTTATTACATTATTTTCCAGAGGTAAAGCAATAACAATTACACTTTCAACAATATTTCAAGTGTAATTTGAGATTTGTTGTATTTTGAATCCAATTTTTCTTTGAAATCAGTATGATGAACCTTTTGCCTTTTACAAAGTTAAGGATTCATTAGTTTGAATATACATTGAACCAAAAACTATCATAGTTGATAATTCAGTATATACTTTATTTTTGACAAAACATCCTATGTTTCGGTAGTGACAGTAATGCTTTGGTAGCAACCACATCATATTACAGATTTTCGCATACTAAAATACAAAATTATACTATTTTGTTTATTTCCTCCAAATACGAGGATTATGTGTTCCCTTTTGTCACTACTGAAACATTGATGGCATGTTTCAGTAGTGACTGTTTTGGTAGTGACAATTCTATGGGATAACACCTAAAAAAACATTAAAAAAAAAA